TTTTCAGTAAATTCGTTCCGACGAAACTTTAGCGACACAAGTCCTTTCTTAAATAAAACTGGTTTATTCTTTCCGAATACAACTTTACGACACACTCAACTTCAACAGTCGCTCTGTAACAAACGCTATAATTCTCACGTGCTCGTGCTCGACAATACTCAGTTCAATTACTCACTACTACACATTCCCGTCACGTTGTGGCCATCTTATATATACCAGACAACCCCAATCTAGTAATCGCCCGACAATTCACGAAAGTTCGAGAAAGAAGTGGCGTGATACTAATCACGTGACCTCGCTGACGCAACAGTATAATAGTGCTCAAGCTCTATTACTAAAAGCCAAATTCTCACCATATGCTTATCACAGTCTCAATCTTTATAGAGCACAAAAAAGCAGAAAGTGGCAAAAACACTCAAACATTCATTGGAATAGTTCAAAAGATTTACAATTTATTTAGTTGTAGCCCACAGCAATAGAGCATTCTTCTCAACAATATAGGCTGTTCTCATTATGGACTTTCTGGAACACAATGGACAGACAGATCGGATAATGTCAGGTCTTTTGCAGCTCACCTTTCTGGGATTGTGGATACACTATCAGAAATTCTTACAATTTTACATCTCGAACAAGAACTGAATTCAAATGTATAACTGACTATGTGTAGTTATTTGATGGCTGGAATCTAGTTAACGATACTTGTGATCAACAATGAGTGCAATCAGATATTGCAGTCCTACAAAGCTACTATTGATATTCAAGTGAGCAACACTGAAAGTCTGTGGAATGATTTAAAAACACTGTGTTAACGTTGGAGCTCAGTTTCTAATGAAGTTAAATTGGTTATAATTAATGTAAACCTTCTGCCACAATTGTCTGCAAAACGGAAAACAGTTCTCAAGTATTTTCATCATGAAAATAAAGATGACCTCTTGCCTAATTGTGAAGAAAAAGAACTTGTAGAGGAGACAAAATTCAGACGAAACAAATTTTATAAGATTATATATTCTGTTATTGCTTGGCTCACTACAAGATATAGAGCTGCCCTTGATATTAACTATACTTTTTCTTTCTTTTTTTTTGGCAATATCTAGATATATCAGAGAATTATTTTTATTCAAAAACTAGGGAGTTTGTTGCTAAGCGTAAATCTGATATGTCAGAAGACTGACTTAGTGGAATAAATTCAACATCTAAAGGCCATCGACAAAGCTAACTTTGGTGATACTGCATTACATCCTTTAAATCTTTTAAACAAGCTGTACAAATTCAAGCTACATCCACTTATCTCAAATGTTTCTGTAGCCCTTTGTATTTTCTGCACAATTCCAGTCACAGTTGCAGAAGGAAAGAGATATTTTAGTAAGCTGAAAATGATAAACAATTATTTGTGCTCCACCATTGCCTAAGACCGATTAACAGATCTGGAAACCCTTGCATTTGAAAACTAAGTAACCCATACTTTGAATTTCAGTAGAATTATTGATAATTTTGCCACACAGAAAGCAAGGAAAGTACACTTCTAACAATGAAAATCATACAGTAAACAACCGTCTGGCCTAATGATGATAAACCCATTTATGTATTAAAATAGAAAACTACAAACCTGATCTGTATTCAACCAATTCTACCTTATTTTGATATTAAATAACTGAAATGTTTAAGAGTAATTAAGTATTACGTTCATATATTCATCCTATTAAACAAACAGGAAACTCAATGTATGAACATTTTTTTCCTCTTTATTAATTTTATTCATTTTTTCTTAATCAGTGATTTTCGTGATTTCCTTTTCGGCTGTAATGTGTTTGTGTTAGTTCATTTGTCAATGTATGGTGTTAATCATTGATTTCTTAAAATAATTTAACCAATTTTCATCTGAGTAGTTTGTTGAAATGTTATTAATAGTGACATGGACATATATTCAGTTTGCTTGTTATATACATAACTAACAAAAACTTAAATAATAAAACACTGATTAAACATACTTTGTGTTATAAAATAAGCCTAAAGATTCATAATTTCTAATAACTTGTTGTCTCTAATTAGGCAAACTAGCGACTAATAAATCCCCACAAATACTTCTCTTACAAATCCTCAAAATATGATATCCAACTTTAAAATTTATAACAAAAACACAATAGGTTAGTAAGATACATATGTCATGCTAAATCTAGCAAAATGGTATGCACCAGTGTATGCTTTTAATCAAAGATTGGATAAATTATCCTATTAAGGAATCACAAATTTCAGCTTGTTGACAGTTTATTCGTGCATATCTTGGTCCGGAAGAGGGGGGGGGGCTGCATATAACAATCCTTCCCCTGGGCAGCTCTCGGTAGCCTTGGAAGACTTTGTTGTTTCTTAGCTGATTTCCTTCTAGCTTATAAGTTCAAAATTAGGGACGGCTAGTGCAGATAGCCCTAGTGTAGTTTTGCACGAATATCTGAAACAAACAACTTCTTATCCAAATATCAGGAGATCACCAGTCGACTTTGCTCATTCCAGTAGGGTTTGTTAAAGTTTGAAACTTGATAAGTATGTGATTGAAAATCTACACCACCGTACTAGCAGACTAAGGGTGATTTGGTAATGTGCATATTTTCACCACATTCGGCAATAGATGAAACTCCACAAACAACTGGTTATTAAAGTTGTTTACTTGATGCAGATGGGGCAATAATGTTTTCACGGGCCGTTTACATAGCACATTAAATTTAGTGTAACTGTTGC